TGAAAATCATAAGACTCTCTCTTGAAAAATCCATATTAATAAAAATCTCCTTGGGGGGATTAAAAGTTTTAATTTTAAATTAAATAACATTCTATTAATCCTCTTGAATTTTTTTCAAAATTATATAACATGCTACCTAAATTAAACATGATAAATACCACTACAGTAGAAAAATTAGCATAAATATGAATGTGGTACCAGGGGCTTTTAGGAGTATGGAAAGAAAAAACTTTTTTTCTCTTTAAACTCAGAGAAAATGTTCCCACTATAATATTAAGGGGTTAATTAGAAAATTTTCCTTTATATCCCTTAAAACAAGCGTCATTTTTCTAAAATGGTCCCACATGAGTTTGGGAGTGTTCCTCTTTATTTATTCTACTGTACAATGGGGGAGACAATTTGACACAATGTAAATTTCTGTATTATGGTATAATAAAAACGGTAGACCCAAAAACCAGATGCTTTTCATCTCTTTGTTTACATATTGCACCTCCTGTCCTTCTTCTCTCTTTCTTTTATTTGTTTTATCTCGTTTACACACCTCTCACCCTTCATTAAGACTACCAATATTTAAGGTAATTTTTAAAATGTACTGAAATGTTTTTTTATCACCTGGGGCGTTTTAAATGTCTAGTAAATTGTGTGGGTAGGGGGGGGTGGGGACCGGCGGGCTGCCACCCTCCCACCTGATTCCTACAAAAAAAATACAATTTAAAACCTTCATTACATTAAGTACAAATTTTTAAAAAGGAAGAATGGGTTACGTGTGTTATTTTTACTTTTTATTGTTTTTAATGCCTAGTTCTTTTGGAAAAAAGGCGATGACGGGTGGATAGGGGGGCAATGTGGGATGTTGCAAGTGTATGGTGTAGGAGGTAGGTTACTGAAAGCAGTGAAAATTTTTTCGAGGATGTGGGTCAAGTTGGTATGTAGGAAAAAGGGGAAAATTTTTCCCCGAAAAATAGGCCTTAGACAAGATGTGTAGCACCGTGGTTGTTTAATAAATTTATAGATGGGGGTTTTAAGAGAAATAAATGCGAGGGGCTTGACAAGAGGGATGGAGTTAAAAGATAAAGAATCACACACAAAGTGGAGTTGTCACAGCTGCTCTTTGCTGATGACACTGTGCTCTTGGGAGATTCTGAAGAGAAGTTGCAGAGATTGGTGGATGAATTTGGTAGGGTGTGCAAAAGAAGAAAATTAAAGGTGAATACAGGAAAGAGTAAGGTTATGAGGATAACAAAAAGATTAGGTGATGAAAGATTGAATATCAGATTGGAGGGAGAGAGTATGGAGGAGGTGAATGTATTCAGATATTTGGGAGTGGACGTGTCAGCGGATGGGTCTATGAAAGATGAGGTGAATCATAGAATTGATGAGGGAGAAAAAGAGTGAGTGGTGCACTTAGGAGTCTGTGGAGACAAAGAACTTTGTCCTTGGAGGCAAAGAGGGGAATGTATGAGAGTATAGTTTTACCAACGCTCTTATATGGGTGTGAAGCATGGGTGATGAATGTTGCAGCGAGGAGAAGGCTGGAGGCAGTGGAGATGTCATGTCTGAGGGCAATGTGTGGTGTGAATATAATGCAGAGAATTCGTAGTTTGGAAGTTAGGAGGAGGTGCGGGATTACCAAAACTGTTGTCCAGAGGGCTGAGGAAGGGTTGTTGAGGTGGTTCGGACATGTAGAGAGAATGGAGCGAAACAGAATGACTTCAAGAGTGTATCAGTCTGTAGTGGAAGGAAGGCGGGGTAGGGGTCGGCCTAGGAAAGGTTGGAGAGAGGGGGTAAAGGAGGTTTGTGTGCGAGGGGCTTGGACTTCCAGCAGGTATGCATGAGCGTGTTTGATAGGAGTGAATGGAGACAAATGGTTTTTAATACTTGACGTGCTGTTGGAGTGTGAGCAAAGTAACATTTATGAAGGGGTTCAGGGAAACCGGCAGGCCGGACTTGAGTCCTGGAGATGGGAAGTACAGTGCCTGCACTCTGAAGGAGGGGTGTTAATGTTGCAGTTTAAAAACTGTAGTGTAAAGCACCCTTCTGGCAAGACAGTGATGGAGTGAATGATGGTGAAAGTTTTTCTTTTTCGGGCCACCCTGCCTTGGTGGGAATCGGCCAGTGTGATAATAAAAGTAAAAAAAAATTCTATTGCTAACTTAATATATGCTAGTGTAAACTTGTTATCTGGCATTCATATGCATTTATAAGTGGAAAAAATGGTGTTCTGCTTTCCAGTGATGTTTGCTTTCCGGTGGTAGCCTGGACCCTAAACTGCTGTATAAGTGGGGCCCTACTGTATACTGTTGAACAGCTTAGTTATGTATAGTACTCCAGAAGTTTAAGTAGCTGATAATACAAGGAGTGGCTGATAATACAAAAGGTCAAGTACACAGTCAACAATCGACTGTGCTAATGCAAAGTGGCACAGCTAACTGGATGTGTCCTCTGCCAATGGTCCAAGAATAAATATTTAATTATAGGAGGGACTTGCTTTTACAGCAGGTTAGGTTCTGGGCTACTGTTGTAAAGTGAAAATTGCTGTAATGTGAAACATAGTCTTACTTCACTTTCAATTTGAAATGCATAAAAAGCCTGATTACTTGTTTACATTATCATATATTAAGTAAGCATCAGAGCTAGACCTAAAAAATGTATATGCAGTACACACATAACTTATCTTAAATTTTTTCATCCTTAGCTTATAGTGAGTGGTGAATATATTTATTGTAGGAAGTCTGAATAAATGAAGACTGAGTATAATTGAAAACTGTTGCATTAGTGAAACACTGCAAACTGTAGTACTGTAAAGTGAGAACCACCTGTAAGTTTCATCTGAAACCGAATAGGCCAGTCTGAGCCAGAAAATTTACTGTGGAGGTTCACCCAAGTATCTTAATATCATTTCTACATGTTTTATTGAAAATAGACAATAAATACTAATTCATAATAAATTTAATCCTCAATTTACCCCTTTTACTGTGTCACATAGATTTATGACACTGAGGCCAGTGTCACCTGCATAGATCTATGTATTAATCACAGTGCCCTCACTTATACTGTGATTAGTAAAGTTGAGTCTAGACATGAGATAATGGGTCTGTGTGATAGGTGTGCACAGTATAAAAAAAAAATCATGTCCCATGCAGTGCATGATGGGAACAGCTAACCTCTGATCATGTGTCTGACTTAAAATAGTGACTGTGAAGCACAGTCCAAGGTGGCTGTTTCCTGGTATCAGTTGACAGAATGGCACACATACTATTGAAAGTAACAAGACTAAACTATGTGACAAATGGTTTGAAAACTGACAAGTTGAAGACTGAGACACTTAAGCAACATATGGGAATCTTTATTTGTTATGTTAATATAAACTTGTTATCTGGCATAACATATATTAAGTTAGCAATAGAACTGGGCATTAAAAACAAGAAAATATAAAATATACACACAGCAAAATCATTACTTACTTTAAAATATTTGTAGTCTTAACCCTTAAACTGTCTAAACATAGATCTACGTTTGTGCGTGTAGCGCTCCAACCTTGATTTTCTCCATAAGAAACAATGCAAAAAAAAAAAAAAAACGTAGATCTACGTTCGGAGCACTATGAGAACAAACGTAGATCTACGTTTGGACAGTTTAAGGGTTAATGTAGGGTGAGAGGAGAGTAATTTTATTGTAAGAAGTTAGGTGTGGGAGGTATGGTAGCCAGCCAGGCCACCCCACCTTCATGTAATATACTACAGCATTTAAAGAGCTCTAGAGTGATAAAATGCATATAGAGCACAATCATTACTTACCTTAAAATATTTGTAGTCTTAATGGAGGGTGAGAGGTGAGTAAACGAGGTAAAATGAATAAGCAAGAGAGAGAGGAGTAAATGAGAGGAGAGAGACACAGAGTTATGTAAACAAGCAGATGAACGTGTCTGGTTTTGGTTCATATATGTAACATATCGTATTTATGTTAATTTATTCTACTGTGGGGTGTATTTATCATGTTATATGTTATGCAGCATGTTTATTATATAATTTTGAAAAAAAAAAATATAGATGAATTAATGAAAATGTTAATATTAACATAATATTCGATATTTAATGCACCTTAGAGTGGTTATTGCATATTATTATTATTATCACTATTAATATGGTGTCCTAAAGACTAATAAGACACTCTTAGTAATTTTAATGTGTACCTGCATTCCAGCACAGTGTGTAAGTTTATTTAGGTACAGGTACACAAGTATACCAGTCACGGTATTGTGCCTTTTTTTGTTATTACACAAGTATAATTATCAGAGTACGTGTATATATAAAACATGAAATAACTTTAAAACACTTGAAATTCTGGAAAGTTTCCAGACATAATGGAGAGACGCGGTGCTCAGAGAAAATGTAACCAACTGGGTGGGCCGTGATGACTGTATTAGAAAGTCAGGTGGGGGTAGCCGTATAACAAGTTTTGATCATAATTTGAAATATCCGTATTAGTGGAATGCCATCAGGTGAAACGCCATAAAACAGAGCCCTACTGTATATTGAAGTATACAAATAAATATTAATTCACCACAAATTAAAGCATGACTAAAAAAGGTGGGTTACTCTAATGCAACTGTTGCCACTAAATTAGAGAAACCCCAGAGATTAACTACAAGACAAATAGAGGAGTCTAGAGCAAAGACTCCTGGAAAGAGAGACTAAAGGAATTAAACCTGTGTCAGAAAGAGAAACCTTGTGGTTTATGAAGGGATCTCTTAGCCATGTGTGAGGTGTGTTCATGTAGTCACTCACACATTTATTGACCAGAGCCAACCTGACCTAGTAACATGCACATCATCCATAAACAGATTTAAAAAAGGGTGTTCAAAACCATGGGAGAAAAACACACAGATTCAGTAGGTAACACAAAAAAGAAAAATTGCTTGAAATAAGTATGATGAAAGTGCAATCTCTTAAAACATAAAAAAATATGCATTGTCTGTTAAGAGAAAAAGGCCTACTCACCATAAGCATCTTCATCAGGATCTCCTGAGTAATACTGCAACACTGTGCGGTAAACAATGTAGCCCAGCTTCTTGTACATGGTTATAGCTACTAGGTTACTCACTCGCACAAATAAATCAACAAAGTAACAGCGCTTTCTGTTAAGAAGAAACATTTATATTTGCTTAAAATATTTTCATATTTAATGGTTGAGAAATGCATTATGCAAACTAACAAGAAAAATAATATGATGGATTTATAACTATGAAAATTACAATAAGTGTAACTGACTCAGAAAATCGTAATAACATGATTGTGAACAATTCACAGAAAGGGTGAGATTCAAACCCATGGTAAGTCCTAAAATTGGCTTATCAATTTTAGGTTCTTATACAGACAGTAAGCTGGTACAGTACAGATGTTGCAACAATGACTTATCAGTTTTAAGCTTGGCTCACCAGAGATTTGAATCCCACTTGTTCTGTGGCAATGAAAGTTTACCATGGAGTACAAGAGAAATTGATTCATTGTACAATGAAGAAAAGTATAAACGGAGCAGCATATAACACTAATGCCTAGAATAATTTATGTATTTCATATACTGGACACAAGGTTACAGAAAAATTGTAGCTACAAAAATTCAAGTATACATATTTTTCTTATAATGACCACAAGGTTGCAAAAAGAAATGCAGCAACCAAGTTAATTTATATGATACATTTTATATAGCTACAAGACAAATATGAAACATTTTAGAAACCTACATTTCCCACCCAAATGGGGCGACCTAAAGAAGAACACAAATTCACCATCACTCACTCATTTTCTAGTCTTCCCAAAAGTTACCACTATCATGGTCCAAGGATGACTCACTGAACAGCAACATTCCTGCCCAATTTACACAGTTCAGGCACTGCACTTTCCACCTCTAGAACTGAAATCTGGTTCCTCTGAATCCCTTTGTAAATATAGTTTTAATGTGTCTCCACTACTATGACCTAAGGAGCTCATGAGGCCAGGAAGGAGTAAACCTGGTAAAGGCCAGTTAAGTTTTCAAGTGATTGTTCAGCAGTATTTCAAGTTATCATCTACAAATGTAACTGAGGAAACTGGACCAATACCAGATGAGCCAGGGTGTGACACTGATGCAGGTTTGAGGGCTTCTAGCAAGAACAACCTGGTACACCAGGCGATCAATGAAATTTGGCCATAGGCTGGGGTACCTTTAAAACTAGTCACTGGCCAAGCCATATGATATACAGCACTGTACTTAGTAAAGTACACTTTATTAGGATACACACTACTACCTAAGGGCACCTTATTAATTACACAGTATTAAAGTTAAGTTACCTAAAGAGAGACACTTACTTCTCAGAGATGTCTTCCAAGATGGCCATGAGCTGCTTGGCCAGGCCCAGTCGTCGATACTCTGGAGCAACAGTTAATGCAGTAACGTGGCCATGCCAGTTTTCTCCATGGCCTTCAGCTTTACCCATGACTGTCAAGATACACAGTATTATAAGTCATTACTTTCTTATTGTTCTTACATTGCATCAGGAATCAAAATTACACTTGCCATCTATAACAGAATTTATAAAAAAAAAAATTACAAGTAAAGACTGAATAAATTTTAACAACGCTGTACAAGAACAAAAACTGATCCACAGATGCATCAGAATTTACACCTGGAAAATCCTAGAGGGACTAGTCCCAAACCTTCACACAGAAATCACTCCCTATGAAAGCAAAAGACTGGGCAAGCAATGCAACATCCCCCCCCCCCAATGAAAAGCAGAAGCACCATGGGTCTGTTTAACTGCCTCACAGCATACATAAGGGGGTTTACCAATAGACCCCTGGCTGTCTTCAAGAGGGAGCTAATCTGGTACCTAAAGTCAGTACGTGATTAGCCGGGCTTTTGTTTGTACGTTGGATTGTGTGCGGCCAGCAGTAACAGCCTGGTTGATCAGATCCTGATCCACCATGACGCCTGGTCACGGACTGGGCCATGGAGGTGTCGACTCCTGAAACAAACTCCAGGTATACTTTAGGTATTACACTGCCTTTGTGATAAGATTTGTTGGGATTTTTAACCTGGAGGGTTAGCCACTCAGGATAACCCAAGATCAGTGCAACATCGACGACTGTTTGTCTAATTTCCAGTGTGGTTCTTTAATCTTGTCCTCCATGATATGACCCACACCGGTCAACTAACATCTGGGACCTACTTACTGCTAGAAAATACGTTCAATGTTTCCACCCATGCTGGGAACTGATCCCGGACACTCAGTGTGTGAGGCAAGTGCGCTGCCAACTGAGCCACGGTGGTATTTTACACCATTTTTCTCTGGGGGGAGATTCCTTTTATGTACAATAACATTATTATTGGCATACAACATTATTATAGATATATATGTTGTCGTGTAGCTGGGTTGGTAGCGCACACAGCTCACACATTGAGTGTTCATGGTTTGATCACCAGTATGGGTGGAAATGTTGGAGATGTTTCCTTACACCTGCTGTCCATGTTCACCTAGCAGTAAGTAGGTACCTGGATGTTAGGTGACTGGTGTGGGTCGCATCCTGGAGGGCAAAATTAACCTGAAATGGTCTGCATAACCAGCTATGGTCTTTATAAGTTGTATCATGTACTTATTGATATAAATTATTATTATTATTATTATTATTATTATTATATACACCTCAAGGAAGATGTCTTGAGGCCGGTGAGGGGCTCTTGATACAAGGAACCCTGATTATCATTCCCTTCCTTGAACTCAACCTCAATACCTCCATTCCTCACCTCTTAACCCCTACGGGTTAAGAGCTTCCCTATGAAAAAAAAAAGTGTCTTAAAAGATGTAATGGGGTAACTCACTATAGCCCATAATGACGCCACTAGGGGACTCAGCCACCTGGAAGTACTCTGGCCAGTGAGCTAGGTACTGCAGGTAGAAGGAGAGTCCATAGGTCTCTGTTAGTGGGTCCAGGTTAACATTATTAAAGTGAAACATATCTTCACACCGGAATGGTCTTAAGGTCGTCATGTTGTTGTTGTTGTGGGTTATAAGAGCCTCTCACAGCTCACACTCTTCTTCTTCTTTCTTCTTCTTCTGTTGGGGTTTCAGGGCCACTGACAGCATACGCCGTATCGAGCCCGGCCGTCCAGTGCTAGGAGAGGGAATATCGACCAAAGTGGAAGAATGTCTTGTCTAATATCATATGTCTCTGATACATCCTGAAGCCAGCAGGAAGGAGTAGGTACAAGCCAATATCTCCTGACGGTCCAGAGGGCGAAACCCCTCCCCATTGAGGAGGACAGGTAGAGTGAAAGTGTGCACCCCAAGTGTGCCTAAGGCCGCACGGAGAGTAGTCCGTGCAGATTGATAACGTGGGCACCACAGTAGGAAGTGTTCCACCGTCTCAGGCTGTGAGGGACACCACTGGCAGTATGGAGAGTCCATCATCCGAAGGCGATATAGATGAGCCGCCAGTCGCAAGTGCCCAACTCGAAGGCGAGTCAGTACAACGTCCACCGAGCGGTTGGGATGGCGAGCCCAAGGGCAGGGGCCATTAAAAGTTCGGACAGAGCCCAACGCCGAAGAAGAGAGTGTGCAAGGCCCTCTTGTCACTGGTGATGGATTCCCTTCCAGACAGCCCTTGTGAAATCACTATGGCCCAGGGCAAGAGGGGTAACAGTAGGAAGCGTGTGTGCGAGGAAGGCTGCCCGATCTGCCACTTCATTTCCCCAGATTCCAACATGGGCGGGAACCCACTGAAGGGAGATGCTCCAACCTGGGCTCCGCAAGAAGCACAGGAGGAGAGATTGTGTCTGTCGAACGAGGACGTGCAGTGATCGTGGACGGGCAGAGCACAAAAGTGCCAGGGAAGATTGGGAATCAGAGAAGAGGACCAGTGGTTGTGAGGGAATGTGATCTAGGACAAAAGCCAGAGCCTGGTGAATGGCGAAGAGCTCCCCTGCCAGAACAGAATGAGTAGGGTCCAACCGCCACGTCTGACACAGGGAGAGATTAGCGAAGAAGGCTGCAGATGTAGAAGGGGGGAGGACCGTGCCGAGCCATCCGTGTAGACAGAGAATGAAGAGCCATATGTAACAGAGTGAAACTCTTCAAACAGAAATGCAACTAACTGAGGGGGTTCCCTGTTCCTGTAATGCCAATCCAGGTGGATGTATCGTGTCAGGTCCAGCCAGGGGAGTGCCGGAGAGTGGAGAGGGGAGGTAGTCACCACAAGTGCAGGAAGAGTAAGGCAGGTCAGAGAATGCTGGGCCCTGGCTACAAAGGAAGGCTGAACCAAACGTAGGGGGACAGAGGCTGTCTCCCACATCTGTGAAGAGAGGCGACAGAGGTGAGTACAAGGCAGAGAGGCCGTATGATGGAGTCGTAAATGTTCCTCGCTGTCCTCACAGACGAGAGAGGGACTATCCCCGACTCTGCCTCCATGGCTGCGATAGGGGTGGAAGGGAATGCCCCAGCATATTACGAATGGCTGAATTCTGGAGAATGTCTAAGCGATGAAGAGAGGAGGAAGAAGCCGAGCCATACACCTCACTCGTATAAGTGAGCTTGCTGCAAACCATAGCTATATAAAACTTATGGAGGTCTCGATCCGCCCCCCACTTGGTGCCAGAGATCCGTCGCATAAGTGCAATGTGACGTGCACATGAGAGGTGGAGGGCCGCTATGTGTTTCTTCCATGTCAAGAATGGTGCATCTAAGGTGACTCCCAATCAACGATGAGAAGAGACCAAAGGGATTGGCGTCTGATTCAATGAGACTGATGGAAGAGTGGGGAGTCAGTGTCTAGTAAAGCATAAGAGTTTGGACTTAATGTCATTAACCTCCAAACCCCAGGTGGTGGCCCATGATGTTATGAATTGCAGGGCACCCTGAAGTGTTTTCTGTGCTGTCAGTAAAGCTGGGGCACTGCACATAAGGGCCACATCATCCGCATATACCAGGGTATGCCCTCCCTGGATGGAAGGGAGATCCAACAATAAGACGGAGAAAAGGAGTGGGCTAAGAACAGATCCCTGGGGCACTCCCCGGTATACAGGACAGGGTGAGGACAAAGCGCCACCCACTGCTACACGAAAGGTCCTCCCTTGCAAAAAGTTGCGCATCCAGCAGAGAGGAGCTCCTGTCAGCCCCATGTGGGCCAACTTGAAAACAATCGTTGTGTGATGCAGAGTCAAATGCTCTGTGTAGGTCCAAAAATGCAGCTGAAAGGAACTCCCGACATTCAAATGAAGTGTGCACAAGCTGTGTAAATTGAAGCAAAGGGTCGAGGGTGGATCGACCTTGTCGGAAGCCACTCTGGTTTTCAGGCAGGAGGCCATGTTCCTCAATCCACCAAGAGAGACGAGTAGCCACCAGTCGTTCCAGCACCTTACCCAAGCAGGGCAGTAGAGCAATGGGCCAGTAAGAGCTCGGTTGGGTATCATCCTTGCCCGGCTTTAGAATCGGAACCAGAAGAGAATGTTTCCACATATCAGGGAAGACACCTGTATACCAGCTGGTATTGAAAACCTCCAGCATAGCTTCTGTACAGGAGGGAGGTAGATATAGTATAAATGGGTAAGTTGTCCTCCCCCGGAGAAGAATGAGAAGAAAGTTGGGAAAGTGCCCGCTGCAGTTCATGGGAGCTAAAGGGAGATGCCAACACCTGGCAATGAACCTCGGGTACAGCAGCTGGCAAAGGGCCCATTTGAATCATCTTAGAGGGTAGAGGAGGAGGAGAAAACATAGGATCGAAGAAATTTGCAAATGTCTCAGCCTTGTCCTGGGGTAAGAGTGGAGTCACTCCTTCCCCCAACAGGGGAAAAGTACATACAGAACGTGATCCCAACATGGAGTGGAAGAAACCCCATACCTGACTGGCAGAAATACGAAAAGAAAGAGAAGAACAGAATAAAGCCCAGGATGCACGTTTCACCTGGAGGAGAGTTCACCGACAAAGAGCGTCTGCCCTTCGGCAAGCCAACTGCTGAGTCCGAGAGGGTTGGCACTGCCACCGTGCCCACGCTGTCTGACGCGCCTTCACTGCTCAGAGGCACTCATCATTCCACCATGGAACCCAGGGCTGTGAACGGGAGAAGCTCCCGGAGAGACAGAATGAACGCGAGCCCACCTCAAGCATGGCCCCTTGCAGAGATGCAACAGCCTCATTCAGCAAGGAGTCCTGAGGCAGACTGTAATAAGCAAGTGCCCGATTATAGGTTGTCCAACCTGCCTGGGTGATTTTCCACCGTGAATGAACTGCCGTCACCAGCACTGCTAAGGCTTCATTTGTAGAAGTACTGGAAAATGGTCACTCCCCATGAAGGGGCTTACAGTAACAGTAGCTGTAGTAAAATATCCACACCCAAGAACGAGGTCTAGGGTAGAAACTCGCCTAGTATAAGGATCCACTCTAGTCTCCAAACCTGGTGGTATGAGCAACGAAAGGTGAGATGCGAGGAGGGTTTGGAACAGGGCCCTACCTGTGGGATTCACCGATCCCAAAGAAATGGATTAAAGGCTCCCAGAACTGGTGCCTTGCATTAAAGTCTCCCATCAGAAGCGTAGAACCACGGAGTTGTCCAAAGTAATAGGTAAATTCACTTTGTGTAACCGACCTGCCCGGATTATAGATCAGGAGTATGTTGCACCACTGAGTGACCAAGGCAACTCTCACAGCCAGAGTTTCCAACACTCCACTCTCATAGGCTTTGGAGAGAGAGGGTTGTGCTCTGGAGCCAGTTGCATACAAGAAGAGCTAGGCCACCTCCGCTCCCTTCAAGGCGATATCTACGGTAAACAGTGAAACCAGGCATCCGAAAAGAATGTCGAGGGCGTAACCATGTCTCAGAGAGACCTACCACCAGTGGCTGTACCTCAGCCAGATACCTCTGAAGGTCTGGAAGCTTCCCCAGTACAGAACGTGCATTCCAAAGAAGAAAAACAGAGGGGTGAGAAAGGTTCACGTGTGTGAACTAAGCAGCCCAATAAGGCGAGGGAGAACCGAGAGACATGCAGTCACAAAAGAGGTGCACTGGAGGTAAGAATGTAGCACCTCCTCCACCAGGAGGAGGATAGGATGAAGGAATAAAGCCCAGGCAGGCGAGAGTGAGAAAGCGAGACCTTCAGACATGAAGGGTCCTGGAGTGGAAACAGGCCGAGGCTGGGGTTGAGGAGAATTGGGGGGAAGTCAGCTGCGAGACGGAAGGCTCCGGGTCGGGTATGATGTCCATCTGAACTGGGTGAGGTTCTGAACGAGTCAATTTGGGAACTGTACCACCTCGACGGGAGGACGTGCGTTGTGGACGAGGGGGAGCATGTGCAATAATTTCCGCAATGGAAGCCGGGTCCGAGGACACCCTAAGTTGATGTTGCCCCAGGGGTGGGGAATCCTCTAAAGGTAAAGAGAGGTCCACATGAGCCCCAAACCGATTTGTAACAGGGATATTAGCTCTCACAGCTGCGGAGTACAGATGCCCTGGCCATGTTGGTGTTGGGGAGACATTGGGGGGCATTGGAGGTGAAGGAGGCAGGGGCTGACAGACTGTGACTGGCTTTACAGACCGCAAGCAGGAGTTACATTCATCAAGCGTACAAGACCGGGCCCTGGCTGAGTTTGCCAGATCAAGAGCCTGGCGATATGCTGGGCAAGACTGGGAGGTAACCTTGTGGTTCCCCTTACAGAAGTAGCATGAAGCCAGGCGGGTACAGGTAATGCCGTCTTTAACTACTGGGTGAAACCCGCTGCAGTTTGCACATCTTACCTTACCATGGCAAGACAACTCTCCATGCCCTGAAAAGGAAACATTTCCGACACCGGAGTAAAGGAAAAGTATAAGGAAGAACAGGAAATCTTAGATTGCCAAAAGTCACAAATTTCGGGAGAGCACCCGAGAAACACACAAACCATACGAGATGGGGTAAGATGATTCAAGAGGCTCCAAACCTCCCGCAAACCTAAGTCGTTACCCCCATTGTGAACCAATTAAGAGTGGATCTCCTCATTTGAGAGGGATGTAGAAATCGGTCCAATTCTGCTGTAACAACAGCCAGCGGTGAGGATTGAGGAGCGGACCTCCCAGCAAACAACATTCCA